TCCTCCGTTGGTTGTGAGAGGAGATATTCAAAGAAGTAGTGATTCCTGACAATCAGGAGGTGGAGTGAATGAGACTTGATGAAAGAGGGAGGAAGTGGTTGCCCTGTCTGGCTTGGGTAATTGGGCAGGTGCCACTCACTCGGGGAGAGAAGAGAAGGAAGAAGTTGTGAGACAGGAACGGGGATGGATGTATTATATCCATGTCTAAGTGAAAATAGGTAATAGGCTGTTATATATTTGGATCTGGGCCTTGGCATGGGAGAAGCCAATTATTCAACTTAATTTCGATGTTATGGGTAATACATTACCAATTTGGCCAACATTTAATGTATAAGTAATAAGCCCAAATTTTAATGTATAAGTAATATTGCTTTTGAGATCTAATGCATTTTTGGAAACTGCAAATTGGTTAAGCAAGTTCCAATGTGTCCTCTTACCGTTGCATTCCTTCACTCAAATTGATTTTTATGGATGAGTAATAACAATGAGAAACGAAGTATGCGTTTAATGGAGGAAGCAGATTAAAAGAAATGAAGTATGCGTTTAATGGAGGAAGCAGATTAAAAACAAATTGCCTAGACTCTGCAAATTCATTTATTCAATCAAATATTAAGTATCTACTATATGCCAAGCACTGTTCTAGGTGCTGAGGATAGAGCTGCTTTCATGGAACTTATATTCAGGAAGTGGAGATGAACCAATATATGTCAGGTAGTGATGATTGCTATGAAGAAAAATAGAACAAAATAAGCATTTAGAAGAATTAGGGGGCTATATTAGGAGACAGCCTTTCTGATGACCTTATTTGAACAGAGCCCTGAAGGAAGAAGGAAGGAGAGCAGGAAATGTGAAATATGTTACTAAAATATTTTTATCAATAGAGTTCAAATAACATTTTCAGACATAAATGATTACCTTCTACTTATTTTGGATACATGAAATGTTTTAATTTGTACATTGACAAAACTAAGGTTGTTTGTTTTACATGTTTCATAATTTCTTTATCTGGCACTTCAAAAAGTAAATTTTAGTTAATACCTAAATATGGACTCTTATTCCAAGCTGTCAGGTGAATGGAAGATACTAGTGCATTACATACCAATTGATAGTCTTAATTAGTCTGTAAATTTAAGTGTTACTAAAACCTTATCTTCTTTGTATATTTTAAAACTGCTAGTTTTACTACTAAAGATTACTGAATTACTAAACTACTAAAAATAGGTGTAATATGTTTTGTATAAAATTGCAGAAATGCCAATTGAAAAAAACACATGGAATGGGGCTGCTTTAACATTTCTTTTTGTGTTCTCTTCTTACAGATTGAAACACAATTAGCAGAGTATCACAAATTGGCTAGAAAATTAAAACTTATTCCTAAAGGTGCTGAGAATTCCAAAGGTTATGATTTTGAAATTAAGTTTAATCCCGAGGCTGGTGCCAACTGCCTTGTCAAATACAGGGCTCAAGTTTATGTAAGTAATGATGACTACTTTTAAGATTTTTTAATTCTATGATTGATATCTCTAGAGTTTGAACTTTGGCATGTTCATAACCCAGTGCTAAACAAAGGAAGAAAACACTGAAGCTGTATCTTCTTTCTTCTTGATCATAGAAATCTTGAACTATCCAGTAAAAAAAGTTGATTACATGTAAAATAGATACCAGTACTATAAAGACAGAGGGCCTAACCCTTATTGTCAAGTTGCTAATGATCCCCCCAGAGGAGAAAGACGTCAAATGCTATATATGTGCTTCAGTAGAAATCTTTACAAGTGGTAACGAAAAGATCAGTTCTTCCCATGTAGCAAAAAAGACTTTGGAGATGGTAACCGTGGAATGAAATCTTGAAAGATGAGACATTTATGGGAATGGTCTGTAGAAAGAATTCCAGGCACAAGGGCACACATGAAGGCATAAAATGTGTTAGAGTACTAAGAACACTGGTAATTGACAAGGAGAAATTCGTGCCTAATTTTAAAATATGGCCAAGGCAGTAATTTGGGGAAGAAAATTTTTAAATAGCTCTATTGTCACTTGTCAGTTATTTATAGATTTTAGAGTTGCCCCTAAAAATGCCAATTTTCAAAATACTTCAGTTTTTAATAAGAGAATATTAAAGTCACAAGCTATACATTTTTCCCTTGAGAATTATTCATTTAACAAGTATTTATTAAGTGCATAATATGTTCCAGACCAGGTACGTGTTAGAGATAAACTATCAAGAAACATACATCCCTCCTTTCCCAGAGATAACAATTTGTGAACGGACAGACACTGATTAAATCAAGCTATATTCATTTTCAATAGAAAAAATACATCCAGTAAATATTTAGTCTATTAGTAATCTATCTATAGATAGGCAGGCAGAGTTTGCTCAACACTGTTTTGAGTAGTTTGACATGGCTGATGCAAGAAAATAATTACATGAATCACATTCTTCTAGAAAAGATTACACAATGCAAAAAGAAGAATGAATATGCTCAAGGAGAAATTTTGCTTTCATCTCTAGAAATAGTTTTACATAATAATAGAAAAATAAAATAGAATCAATAAGGTACAAAGCCAAGTGTTATAAGTCGTACTTAGTGAAAAGTTCTTTAACAGATTAAAGAGGCCAGGCACGGTGGCTCAGGCCTATAATCCCAGCACTTTAGGCGGGGGCCAAGTGGGCAGATCATGAGGATCAGGAGTTTGCGAGAGGCAGCCTGGCCAATATGGTGAAACCCCATCTCTACTAAAATACAAAAATTGAGCCATGTGTGTGGCACGGCACTGCTGTAGTCCGGCAGCTAGCTTGGGAGGCTAAGGCAGAAGAAATCCGCTTTGAACCGCAAAGGGGCAGAGTTACAGTGAGGCCAAGATCGCGGCCACTACAACTCCAACCCGGGCAGCAGAGTGAGGATTCGCATCTCAAAAAAAAAAAAAAGAGAGAGAGAAAACGGAGAGACTTAAAGAGGCCATGCATCTTTTAAAGGAGGCAAGCCAAAACTTAAAAACTCAGCAGTACGTTCAGAAAGATCCTACTTAAAACCATAATTGGTATAGTGGGATTTTCTTTCAAGCATAATGAAAATGTTTGGGAACTAGAGGTGATGTGATGGTTAAGTGTATTGAAATGCCGACCTCGATTTACATACTATGGTTTTTATGTTAAACCTTTATGTTTAATTTATGTTGTATGTTTAACTTTTATGTTATACATCCATTTTAACCTAAAACTAATATTTAGTTAAAATGATGTTAACATAAAATATAAACATACAACATAAAATAAACATAAAGTTTAACATAAAACCATAGTATGTAATTCAGTGGCATTTAATACAGTAAACCATCCACATCACGCTCTAGTTCCAAAAAATTTTCATTATGCTGAAAGAAAATCCCATATACCATTATGTTTAAGTAGGTCTTTTGAAGTTACTGCTGAGTTTTAATTTTGCTTGCTCCTTTCAAAAGATGGCAATGGCCCTCTGTTAATCTCTTCGTTTTCCTCTCTCTATTTTTTTTTTTTTTGAGATGGAATCTCACTCTGCTGCCGGGCTGAGTGTAGTGGGCGCGATCTTGGCTCCACTGCTAACTCTGCCTTTGGGTTCAAGCGATTCTTCTGCCTTAGCCTCCAAGTAGCTGGGACTACAGGTGCGTGCCACCACACATGGCCTAATTTTTGTATTTTTAGTAGAGATGGGGTTTCACCATATTGGCCAGGCTGCTCTCGAACTCCTGACCTATGATGCTGCCCACCTTGGCCCCTCCTAAAGTGCTGGGTTATAGGCCTGAGCCACCGTGCCTGGCCTCTTTAATCTGTTAAAGAACTTTTCACTAAGTACGACTTATAACACTTGGCTTTTGTACCTTATTGATTCTATTTTATTTTTCTATTATTATGTAAAACTATTTTTAGAGATGAAAGCAAAAATTTCTCCTTGAGCAATATCATTCTTCTTTTTTGCATTGTGTAATCTTTTCTAGAAGAATGTGATTCATCGTAATTATTTTCTTGCATCAGCCATGTCAAACTACTCAAAACAGTGTTGAGCAAAACTCTGCCTTGCCTATCTATAGATTAGATTACTAATTAGGACTAAATGTTACTGTGTATTTTTTCTATGAAAATGAATATAGCTTGATTGAATCAGTGTCTGTCCGTTCCGCAAACTTGTTATCTCTGGAAAGGAGGGATGTATGTTTTCTTGATAGTTTATCTCTAACACGTACCTGGCTCTGTGAACAATTATGCACTTAATAAATACTCTGTAAATGAATAAATTCTCAAGGGGAAAATGTATAGCTTGTGACTTTAATACTTCTCTTATTAAAGAACTGAAAGGTATTTTGTTTTGAAAATTTGGCATTTTTGGAGGGGCAACTCTAAAATCATAAAATAACTGACCAAGTTACAAGAGACAGCTATTTAAAAAGTTTTCTTCCCCAAAAATTAGCTCGCCTTGGGCCATGATTTTAAAATTAGGCGACGAAGTTTGCTCCTTGTCAATCCAGTGTTCTGAGTACTCTAACACATTTTATGGCCTTCATGGTGTGCCCTTGTGCCTGGAATTCTTTCTACTCGACGCTATTCCCATAAATGTCTCCATCTTTCAAGATTTCATTCCACGGTTCCATCTCAAAGTCTTTTTTGCATTTAGCATGGGAAGAACTGATCTTTTCGTTACTCCACTTGTAAAAGATTTCTAATGAGCACATATATAACCCGCATTTTGACCGTCTTTTCTGCCTCTGGGGGATCAATAGCAAGCTTGACAATAAGGTTAGGGCCCTTCTTCTTTATAGTACTGTTCATGCTATTTACATTGTAATCAACTTTTTTTAGCCTGGATAGTTCAAGATTTCATGATCAAGAAGAAGAAGATAACGCTTCAGTGTTTTTCTTCTTTGTTAGCACTTGGGGTTATGAACCATGCCAAAGTTACAAACTAGAGAATATCAATCATATTAGAATTAAAAACAATTCTTAAAAGTACAGTCATCATTACTCTACATAAACTTGAAGCCCCTGTATCTTGACAAGGCAGTTGCACGCAGGCCTCGGATTAAACTTAATTTCAAAATCATAACCCTTTTGGAATTCTCAGCACCTTTAGGACATATAGTTTTAATTTTCCTAGCCACATTTGTGATAACTCTGCTAAATTGTGTTTCAATCTGTAGGAAGGAACAACACAAAAAAAAAAAAAAGGAAATGTTAATAAGGCAGCCCCATTCCATGTGTTTTATTTCAAGTTGGCCATTTCTGCAAATTTTTTTTTTGGAGACGGAGTCTCGGTTCCTGTCGCGCCAGGCTGGGAGAAGCAGTGGGCCGGGACTCTCAAGCTTCACTGCAGCTCCGCCTCCCGGGTGATAGGCCATTCTCTGCCACTTCAGCCTCTTGAGTGGGCTGGGGAACGTACAGGCCGCCCCGCCCACCTCGCTTGGCTAGTTTTTTTTCGTATTTTTTAGTAGAGACGGGATTCGTCACCAGGTTAGGCCAATGGATGGTTCTCGCATCTGCCTGACCTCGTGATTCCGCCGGTGCCTCAGGCTCCCAAAGTGCCTGGGATTTCAGGGCTTGAGCCACGCGCCTGGCCATCAATGGGCATTTCCTGCAATTTTATAGCAAAAGCATATGTACAGCCTAATTTTAGTATTTAGTAATTCAGTAATCTTTAGTAGTAAAAACTAGCAGGTTTCAAATATAGCAAAGAAGATAAGGTTTTTAGTAAACACTTAAATTTACAGACCTAAATAAGACTATCAATTGGTGTGAATGTA